CACCCCATTCAGAGCCCCCCTTCTCCTACTCTCCAGCTACCCCCCTCCCACCCCTGGGCTGCCCCTGGGTACCCCACTCCGGCTCTGAGTGCTGTGCCCCCCCAGGCCAGGTGATCTCGGCCACGCAGGAGCAGATCCGCAATGCCTACTACCCCGAGTACTTCATCCTGGAGGTGACTGGGCAGCTGCAGACACGCCAGGCGGCCGGCACCTATGACGACAGCTACCTGGGTGAGCGGGGCGGCGGGCGGCACCAGGGTGGGGGGCAGCAGCAGCCCCAGGTACCCACAGGGACAAGACCTAGGTGTCCAGGCCCCCCTGCTTCAACCCCTGGGATCCCACTCGCCTCCAAGAGCTGGCAGAGAGCCCATGTCCGGGTCCCCAGCCTGTTCCCATGCCCCCTCCTCGGATAGTGATGCCCCAGGCTGCTGCCCAGTGACTATTCCCCCCTGCTCTGTGGTTTGTGGGGTGGGGGTGCCACATTGTGGGGAGCAGGGAGTGGGCGCGGGGAGGCTGTGGCTGCGGTCTCGCTCTGACTCCTCTCTCCCCCCCTCCCCAGGGTACTCGGTGGCTGTGGGTGAGTTCAGTGGAGACTCCAACGAAGGTAAGAGCCAGGGCCGGGGCCAGGGCCAGGGCAGGGGGTCCTTGGGTGCCCCCTTTGTGGCTGGTGGGGGTTACAGCCAGGGGGGCCAGAGCCCACGCTGCTGCCCAGGGTGTAGGGGGGGCATCAGGTGCTCGCAGGGGCTGGGGTCTGAGGTGCCCCACCCCGGCCGGGGGCTTCAGCCCCACGCACGCACACACCTGCTGAGCCGTGCCGTGGCACCGCTCCGGCTGTGGCCCCTGGTGAAACCATGTCTCTGCCCCACAGACTTCGTGGCCGGCGTGCCCAAGGGGAACCTCACCTATGGCTATGTAAGGCTGGGCGCCCCTGGGGGCGGGGCTGGGCTTGGGGTTGGGGGTGGTCTCCATGGTGGGGGGTCCAGGCCTTGGTCCTGGAGACGTGGACCTGCCCCCGTGGAGGTGCCCGGAGCCACGGGGCCCCGCCCGGGAAGCCGAGCCGCCGCCTGACGCAGCCCCTGGCCCCCCGCCAGCCCCAGATGTGCAATTCCTGTTGCTCTTCCCGTTTCCACGGCAACGTGGCCTGGGCCGGGCCCGGACTCCTGGGTCCTGGCTGCGCTGCACCAGGCGTGGGGCCGGGCAGGGCTGGGGCCGGGACTCTGCCTCCTGGGTCCGGTGCCCCTCCTTGCCATGGCCGGGCAGAGCGGCCTGGGCTGCACCCTGTGCTGTGCCTCAGTTTCCCCTCTCAGGGCCAGGGGCCGAAGCGGGCTGGTGACGGGACTGTTGCTTCTGCAGGTCACAATCCTGAACGGCTCCGACATCCGGTCCCTGTACAACTTCTCCGGGGAGCAGGTGAGTGCCAGGGCCAAGGCAGGGGCACACGATGCCAGACCCTGCTGGGCTGTGCCCTCCTTCCTTAATGGGTGCCTGGCAGGGGGGGACACCCACATAGCCCTGCACAGTGGCCTACTGCCAGCTCCTGATGCCCCCCCCGGTGTCTCCGCAGATGGCGGCATATTTTGGCTATGCCGTGGCTGCCACCGATGTCAACAGTGACGGGTGAGTGTATTCTCGGGGGGGCATGTACCACCCCAGCCTGCCCCCCACCACCCAGCTCATATAGCTCTTGGCCCCCTGGGGTAATTGGCAAGGGGAGACCTGGACTGGGGGTGCCCATGGCCAAGAGCTCAGCCCTGCCTGGTCCCCCAAGGCCCCCCCCCCCCCCCCCACCACCCCGGCGCCCCCCCCCCCCCCCAGCCACAAATAAGCAGGAAAGAGGCAAGGGGGGGGAGGGGAGCAGTGAGCAGGGATCATGCCTGTGGGGGATTCCCCTGCCCCGCTGCAGCCTGGCCCAGGTCCCTCTTACCCCCCATCCCTGCATGGGCCTGGCTAGCTATGGGAGCACTGGACTGGCTGCCCCCTTGCCAGGAGGAGGTCGGCCGGGTCTACCTGTACCTGCAGCAGGCACACGGCATGGAGCCACAGCCCCACGCCGTGCTCACCGGGACCCAGGAGTTTGGGCGCTTCGGCAGTGCCATCGCCCCCCTGGGGGACCTCGACCAGGACGGCTACAACGGTAGGTGCCGCAGGAGCCAGGCGACCGGGTCTGCACACATGGCCGTGGGTCCGTATGGCCGTGCCTGCGTTTGCATGGGCCCACGTGTGTCTGCAGGCATGTGCACGGGGCTGCGTCAGTCTCACGCGTGTGCATGTGTCTGCAGGCGTGTGCATGGGTCTGCGTGTATGTGCCTGTATGTACACGTGTCTGCAGGTGTGTGCATGGGTGTGTGCGCCCATGTGTGCATGGATGTGCCTGTGTGCCTACATGTGCGTGTGTCTGCAGGCATGTGCACAGGTGTGCGTGTGTCTGCAGGCATGTGCACAGGTGTGTGTGTGTCTGCACATTTGCATGCACGTTCCTGCATACGCGTCTCTAAGCATTTGCACAGGTCCACAGGGGTGTGCAAACTTGCACACAGGTCCGCATCTGTGGCACGTGCATAGGGCCCAGATACATCCATGCTTGTGCATGAGTGTGCATGCCGGTGCACTGGTGTGTGAGCATCTGTCGCCCCCTGGTGGCTGCTGTGGGGCTGTGCTAGGGTTGGCCAGGCCCGCTGGCATTTAAAGGGCCAGTGCCGCGTGGGCGGCGGGGGTAAACCCTGCGAGCAAGGGCCCTGACCGTGTGCATCCCGCAGACGTGGGCGTGGGGGCGCCATTCGGAGGCGAGGCCCAGCAGGGCGTAGTCTTCATCTACAACGGGCAGCCAGGGGGGCTGCGCCCGGAGCCCTCCCAGACACTGAAGGGCCTGTGGCCCCCTGGCCGCACCCCCGACTTTTTTGGCTTCTCCCTGCGCGGCACCAAGGACCTGGACAGCAATGGATACCCAGGTATGGGGGCACCAGCCCCACCATGCCCATACCCAGCCTCTGCAGCCTGGGCAGGGCCACGTGCAACACCACCCTGCCCCTCAATGCATGCCCCCAGCCCTGAGCTCTGTCCCTACCCTCCCACAGACCTCATCGTGGGCGCCTTTGGCGTGGACACAGCCGTCGTATACAGGTAGGTGCTGGGGTTTGTTTGGGTTTTGGGGGGGGCAGTGCCACTTGTCCCTGGGGATGCTCCATGCCCCCCCCCACCCCCCATGTCTACGCCATCGCCTCCCTCAGCATCTACCCCACCATGTTCAACCCTGAGGAGCGAACCTGCACCCTGGAGGGCACCGACACCCATGTGGCCTGGTAAGCATGGTGGGAACCCAGGTGTCCTGACCCCCTTCCAGCCTGTGGGCTGGGGGGGACTCCCTTCTGCCCCCCCCCAGCCTCCAGGGTTGGGGCGGTGGCTGCGTTCCTCCCCAGAGGCGGTTGCAGCGAAGGGCCGGGGGGACTGGGGGGCCTCCAGCCCCCACTGCCGGCTGCTGTTGCAGCATGGGGCCGCCCCCCGCAGCTCTGGGGGGGGTCCCCGCCCGGGGGGGTTTATTTATAGCAGCCGAGTTGATCGGTCGCGCGGCAACGGCTTTGCTGGCAGCCGGCCCGAGGCGCTGAATGAGCAATTGTGCGGTCGCGCCGGCAGCTGGAGGGGCCGCGGGAATGCAGGGGGTTCCCCCCCCAGCTCCCACCCTCCCAGCTGCTGGGCTCCCTGGCCCGGCCCCTTTGCAATCAGCCTGGCTGCCCCCCCCCACACACCTTTCTAGCCTGTAGCTGTGCCTCAGTTTCCCTGCAGTACAAGGGCAGGGGACTGGGCCCTGCTCACAGCCTCCCTTCACCCCCCAGCATCAACCTGAGCTTCTGCCTCAACGCCTCAGGGAAACACGTGCCTGACCTCATCGGTGAGTGGGGTCGGGGGAGCCTCCCCGTGCCCCTGGGGGGGTGGGGCTAAGTCCAGGTTTGGGGGCAGGCAGGACTCCTGGGTCCTGCTCTGGGGGGCTCCTGGCAGGTGCCCTCTGCCCACTCCCTGCCCCACCCCCCCAGGCTTCACGGTGCAGCTGCTGCTGGACTGGCTGAAGCAGAAAGGGGCGGTGAAGCGGGCGCTCTTCCTCCGCACCCGCCAGCCCGTCCTAGACGTGCCCCTGCAGGTGCCCAATGGTGCTGTCGACACCTGTCGCGAGATGAAGATCTACCTGCGGGTGAGCCCTGCCCCTGCCTGCCCCTGCCTCTGGCTCCTGGGCTCTGCCGGGGTCCCCACAGCTCCCGTGACACCCCTTCTGTACCTCTCTAGAACGAGTCGGAGTTCAGGGACAAGCTGTCGCCCATCCATGTGGCGCTGACCTTCCGCCTGGACCCCCACGCTGCCCCTGATGCCCACGGGCTGCAGCCCATCCTCCACTACCTGGCCCGTGACCGCATCGAGCAGAAGGTGGGAGCTGGGGGGCATCTGGGGTAGGGGGGACAGCCGGCAGCAGGACCTGCAGGGATCCCCGAGACCCTCCTTGGGTCTGGGGGGGTCCGTGGGAGCCCCCCATGGGTTTTGGGGGGTCTCCTGCTGGCTGGGGTGGGCATCACTATGGAAATGGACATCCTCCTGCCCCCCCACCCCACCCCACCCCAGCCTGATGCCTAAGAGACCCTCACCCCTCCTGCCCTTTCCTGCTCCCCCGCAGGCTCAGATCCAGCTGGACTGTGGGGAGGATAACATTTGCGTGCCTGACCTGCAGCTGGATGTCTTCGGGTATGATGAGGGGGCATGAGGGTGGCAAGGTGCTGATGGGGGGCAAAGGCTTGGGAGGGTTTTGGGGGCTGCAGTGTCTCTCTAACCCCCTCCCCCGGTGCCACAGGGAGCAGCGGGTCGTGTACCTGGGGGACAAGAACGCACTGAACTTGACCTTCCATGCCCGCAACCGCGGCGAGGGCGGCGCCTACGAGGCCGAGCTGTGTGTCACACTGCCCCCCGAGGCTGAGTACTCGGGCATCATCCGCGACCATGCGGTAGGTGGGGGGATCACAGGCTGTAGGGACCTCTGGGCCGGCGGCGGGAGGGAAGGTCCCTGTTCCCCCAGCAGGCAGTGGAGCCAGAGGGCCTTGGCACCTGGCCCTGTGGCATGGCACATGCTGGGAGGGCAGTGCCCAGCCCCCCCCCCAGCCACCATTTGACCGCATCTCTGCCCCCCAGAACTTCACCAGCCTGAGCTGCGGATATGAGTTGCAGAACGGGACCCGGCTGGTGGTGTGTGACCTGGGCAACCCCATGAAGGCCGGTGCCAGCGTGAGTTTTTGCCATGCACCCATGGGGCTGGGGAGCGCTGGGGTCAGGGCTGATGCTCTGGGCTGGGGGTGGGGGGCAGTTGCCAGCCCCCAGGGGGTGGCACAAGCTCATGGGGGGGGCAGTGCCAGGCTCTCTGACCCCACGTGTCTCCCCAGCTGTGGGGCGGACTGCGCTTCACCGTGCCCCACCTCCGCGACACCCGCTCTACCGTCCAGTTTGACTTCCAGATCCGCAGGTAAGGGCCTGACCCCAGCCCCGGGCACTGGGGGGGCTGCTCCTGTGTCCAGCTGTCAGTGCCCCTGGGTACCCCCTGTCCCGGCCCATTGGAGCTGCAGTGGGGGGTGTCCAGGCCTGGCCCTCCCGTGATGGCACTGCTGTCTCTGCAGCAAGAACCAGAACAACTCCCAGAGCGAACTGGTCGAGTTCTCACTACAGGTCCGTGCTGCTGCCCGCGTCTCCACCCACGGGTGAGTGCCTGCCCCGAACTCAGGGGCCGCTGCATGGGGAGGGGAGGGGAGGGGAGGGGGCCTCGTGGCCTCCCGTGCTAACACCCACCCCCTGCAGGGTGTCCAAGCCTGAGGCCGTGACCTTCTTCGTGGCTGGTGGGCAGCCAGGACGAGAGCCCCAGAGGGAGCAGGACGTGGGGCCTGAGGTGCAGCATGTCTATGAGGTGGGTCATGCCCCCCCCGGGCTGGGGGGTCAGGGTCTGGAGAGGTGCGGGGGGTCTGTGGGGCTGTCTGGAGTGTGGGGTACTGTCTGTCTGTCTGTCTGTCTGTCTGTGGGGTGATATGGGGGCATCTGTCTATCCTGGGCCAGCCCTGAGGGGTTCCCCCTGGCCGCGGGGCACAGCTGGGCACAGACCCCCCCCCCTCATCTCCTCCGGCAGCTGGTGAACGAGGGGCCCAGCACTATCAGCCAAGGCACCCTGGAGTTGAGCTGCCCCCTGAGCTACCAGGGGCGCCAGGTGCTGTACGTCACACGCTACGTGGCACCCGGCAACTGCACCTCCAGCCACCCCATCAACTCCCTGCAGCTCCAGGTGATGGGCGCTCTGCGGGCAGAGTGGGAGGAGGGCACAGGCACTGGGGGCTGCACCAGGCCAGGGGCATGGGGGGTCGGGGGCTCCAGGGGTTCAGTGCGCCTGTGCATGAGAGTATGGGCTGCTGGGAAACCCACTGCTGCCCCACACTCCCGACCCGCAGCCCCCTGCCCCCCATCCAGGGTGGTGGAGCCATAGGCAATGTGGCTGGGTTCTGTGTCCCTCCTGCCCTTGTCCCAGTGGGGGTTTTTTGCGGGGGAGGAATTCCAAATCTGTCTTGGGTCCCCCTGGTGCCCCCCCAACGCCTTCTCTGTGTCCTTTGCAGCTGGAGCAGAGCCCAGCACCTCCCAGCCTGGAGCAGCATTTCCTGCAGCGCCGGGACACACGTGGCGGGGGGACTCCCGGTGCCCCCCACCCCCTGGTAAGTATGTCCCCCCACCCCTTCCCCATGTCCTAATGGCCAGAGCCTGAGGCCAAGCAGCATCCCCTCCGAGCTCTGAAGCCACCCCACTTGGGCTGTGTTCTCAGGGCAGCAGCACAGGCTCAGCCTTGCACACGGCCATGTCCCACCCCAGACCTGGGCGCATTCTGGTCCCACATTGCCACCCCCAGCCCCTGCTCTACCCTCTCCCTATTGCCCAAAGGTTGGGGGTTGCCCGGGACCTAGAGCTGGCATCGGGGAGGCCTCCAAGTGCTCTCCCCGGTGACCCAGGACCCCTCTATCCGCAGCGGTGCTCTGAGGCGGAGTGCTTCCAGCTCCATTGCCAGGTGGGGGTGTTGCAGCGGCAGCAGCGCGTCACCCTGCGTCTGCACTTCCGGCTTTGGGCCAACACCTTCCACCAGGTGAGTCTGGACCTCCTGCTCCCCAGTCCTCTGGGTCTGCCCCATCCTCTGCCCCCAGGGACCGGTGCTCAGAGCTGCTCACGGCCCCAGAGCTGGAGAGAGCTCCATGGAGCCTCCCCTTGCCCCCAGCTGCAGTGGGCACCAGCCCATGGCACCTGCCCTGCTCCTGCCCCATGCTCAGCTCCCCCACCCCCAAGGGGCCCAAGGTGAGCTCCTGGCCCCTGCACCCTCCAGCTTCACGGTCCCTGGCTCCACATCCATATACTCCAGTGGGTACAAGGAGGGCAGCTGTGATGGTCCCAGCCCAGGGTGCTATGTTATGGGTGGGGGTATCTGGGGGGCCCCTCCCCTGCCCCCGGATGTGTCTGCACCGCACCCACCCTCTCCTGGGGGCCTGGTCCCGCAGAAGGAAGGCCAGCCGACAGCGCTGCAGTGCGAAGCCGCCTACCAAGTGCTGCACATGCCCTACCGCATCTTGCCCCAGCACTACCCAAGTGCCGCGCTCAAGGTCAGTGCCACGGGCAGGGGCACTGTGAGGGCAGGGGGCATCTGGAAGAACCCAATAGGCCCATTGCCACGCTGCCGAGGGGGTTGGACCAGCAGCCAGGCCCGTTTCACCCTAGAGGTGGCTGCATTTTAGTGCTGTGGGGAGCTCGGGCCACAGTGGGGGCACCTGTCCTGGGCTTGGGATCACCACCCCTCTTGATGTTGGCCCCGGCAGGTGTCGACAATGTTGCAGTGGGCCAAGGCGGAGAGCAGCCCCAGCGTCCCGCTGTGGATCATCGTGCTGGCTGTCCTCTTCGGGCTGCTGCTGCTGGCACTGCTCATCTATGGGCTGTACAAGGTGGGCACAAGCCGGGGGGCAGGGGGCCTGGGTGGGGGCTCCTGGCTGCCAGGCTGGAGCTGGTGGAAGGGGTTGGAATAGGGAGGCTGGGAGCCCGGACACCCGGGTTCTCTCCCCGCTCTGGAGGGCTGTGGGGGCTGTGGTGGGTTACAGCAGGGCAGTGTGGGGCCCGGATGCCCATGTGCCAACCCCGCAGCCCCAGAGACTGGCATAAGAAGCAAGGAGAGCTCCCACTTTTATATAAAAGATCCAAGCGGTTCGGGTCTCAAGCTGATGGGCCAAAGGGAGGGAACAGGCGGAAGGTGAAGAAACATCAGCCCTGCGGTAACATGCACTCAGCACCTTCATCCTTGCCCCACACCTCTGGAGGGTCCCTCCAACCAGCCGTCAGTCCCAAACCAGGTGTCCCCAAGCCCCTTGGGAGGTCTTCGCTCTCGCTGTGCTCTACCTAGGGATTCAAGGGCATGGACCCTGGCTGGCTTTGGTAGGTCTTGGGTGTCCCCTGTTGTACCCAGCCTTGACCTTCGCTATCTTCACTTCCATCGGGTCACATAACTTCTTACACAGCTCTTGGCACTGCCCTCTCCTGGTTTGGCCCCGTATCCACACTGACTCTCCTGGATCATGCACCATCTGGTGACCCAGAGGTCATAGCACTCATTTTGCCTTTGTGTGGCTGCAGCCTGATGTCTTTTAACAGCTTGGCTAAATGAACGTAGGTGTCTCGACACCCTCGTAACATCTTCAGGTGGACTCTTAAACACTTCTGAAATATATCCTCCAGAGACCACATCAGGTAGGCAAATCCCCCATCCAAACACCGTATACGGTGCATCTTCTGTAGCCTACTGCACGCTGCTCCTTTATGCTGCGACATAAAGGAAGTATCTCATCCCACGGCATCTGATTGCCTTTGGTCGGGGAGGACAGCCTGTCGGCCAGAGGATGGTTGACTCCTTCTGCTAATCCATCAGATGGGGGTGATAGTGTGTTGGGCAGGTTTTGTTGCTCTCCAGAAGAGAGAGACAGGATGAAACGGCTGAGATTCAAAAGGTCTCCTCTGGCCTGTGTGAAGGGATTGAGGTCCACCACGGTAGCATACACATCTGTTGGCAAACATGTTGGCCACGGTTGGAGCCTCCTGATCAGGGAGAGGGTGAGCTTCTGCCCACTGGAGAAAAATAGATACCCGCTACTAAAACAGAGGTGTTTCCATGGGGTGTAGCGTGTAGGGGACCCAGGTGTCCTTCCAGGTGTCACCCAGCCTGCATGGAGACCACGGGCCTCAGACACCAGACACCTCACATGACCTGCACCCATCCTCACCAGATTTTCTCCAGCCCAACCAGAAATACAAACCTCGTGAGAGACCTCCATGCTCGTGTCCCCCGGTCATGGGATCGTGCAGAGCTTGAAGAAGTATTGCTATTTCCTTTTCCAGTACCGCTGTTTGAATAAGCTCTGGCCTTTGGGCAGATGCAGGAAGTTCCCGCACCAGTCCTCCTTGCCGAGTGCTTAGCTCAGGCCACGCTCCCTGGCACCTCTTCAGGCACGGATGATATTGCCCTTCTTCAGGGAACTGCTTGCTATCCGTTTCCTTGCACCTCATTAGTTTTTTTGTCTTGTACGCTGATCTGCCAGCCTTCCAGCTTCTCCTGCCTTTGGGGTTGCCTCACCCCTGGCTGCTGATAGTGGTGGTATCCCCAGTGCTTCACTTTAGGGTCAACTTCTGCTACGTGAGGCCTATGGGACAAGGCATCAGCTTTCTGGCACTCGGGCAACGAGCTGTTGGGTAGTTGAACTCCACCATCCAGCCAGCTGTCCCTCAGGTGGCTGGGATTTGTGTAGCCACCAAAGAGGCCATCGCCTTTTCCTGGCCTCCTTCAGCTTGTGACAGAACGACCCCGATGCCAATGTCACGTGCATCCGTGTCCAACAAGAAGGGTAACCTCGGGTTGGGATATGGTAAGATAGGGGATGACGTATGGACCAGATATTCTCCAGGCCCGATGAACTTTGCCGTCTTGCAGAATTTATGTAAGGGGCTTGTGACGGAGCAAAATCTGCCATGAAGCTTTCATACTTGGAGGCTGCACAGTGTTGTTACATTTCAAGGTACTGGACAGGCCTTAAAAGCTTCCACCTTCTGTGGATCAGGGCTACTCCCTCTGTGGAGATCATGTGTCCCAAAAAGTTCACTTCCTTGCAAAAAAGCTGGCAATTGGGCAGATTGATTTTTTTTTTTTTAAAGTTGGCCTCCTTCAGCCTCTTAAGCTCTGCTTCCAGTTTCTGCAAGTGCTCCTGAAAGGTTTGGCTTACCACCGTGATATCATGCAGGTACACCAGGCAGGAGGTCCCTTGCAAATCTGCTAACACGATACCCATCCGTCTCTGAAATGTGCCAGGAGCTTTGCATATACCGAAAGGCATGACATTCAACTCCAACAGTCCCTTAGTGCAGAAAGCGGTCTTAGCTCTGTCCTCTAGGTGCGCTTCCACCTGCTGGGGTGGAGAACCGTCCAGCTTTGGCCAGGAGGTGTAGTGTGTCGTTCGTTTGAGGTAAAGGGTAGGCATCCTTGCCAGCAATGTCATTCAGTCTATGATAATCCACACGGACCCACGCATTTCCCCCCTTCTTCTGCACCAGCACTACAGGGGCAGCCCGTGGGCTGACAGGATGATGCCTCTTTCCTCCATCTCTTGCAGCTGCTGATCAAACTCCTACTGGAAATGGATGGTCCTCCCTGTTTGAGAGGTCTGGCATTGTCAGTGTTGATCTGGTGCTTTGCCTGGCCTGTGTGCCCTAGGCTGTGGTCTCCAAGGCTGAGTACAGCTGGAGACTGCTTGCACAGTGTCTTAAGATAAGCTCATGTTCCAGTTTTCCCGCATCTGTTGAAGGTTATCACCTGGCTCTCTAAGGTGTTGTCTGACCTCAGCACTCTTGCAAGCAACCAACTGCTCCGGTTGTCTGATCTGGGGTCCTCCTGCACGGCAGCTACACTGGTCTCAAATGGCCCCATGACAGGGCCCTGATATACAACTCATGGGTCTGTCGATATGTCGGCAAGATGCACAGGAATTTCACCCTGGCGGTTCTTCACCGTTGCAGGAACCCCAATTCAGCAGTGAACGTAGGGGCAAATAAGCCCTCTTCTTCATGGCACCATCTCTTCAGGTGACCAGTGATCACCATCTCACTTCTAGGAGGTGCTAGGTTCTCTGCTACCACTTCGGCTGCCCTCACTTGGCCACCGGAGGTCTATGAGGGGAAACGCCTCTCCAGGAAGGGACACAAACTGCCTGCAAAATTCATAGCACCTCGGTAATTCTGTAGGACCTCGGTGCCTAACGAAGCATCTTGATTGGTAGTCTTTGCTACAAGGCAGCTGTAGGCCCTGGAAGCTGGCAGTTGTACCACTCTTCCAGAACTAGAAGAGCTTCTTCACTGGCTGCTGTGACCACTAGTCTACAGGGTCGGATGTTTCTCTGCCTCTGTTGTAGCTTGCTCCCATATCCGGCTATCTACCAGGAGAAACTGGATCCAGACACAGTGCCCTCCTTGCACTGCAGGTCTCCCCTCCTCTGCGGTACACATCGCACAACCAACAAGATCGACACGCTCACTGCAGCACTGCTAGTCCCCTTTTGCCCCACTTGTGGGATAGCCCCACTTCAGGATCCCACTTTTTCCACCAATTTGAGCCAGCCCCAGAAACTGGCACAAAGGGCAAGGGGGAGTCGTATTTTCATACAGAAGATCCTAAGGGTTAGGGGTCACCAGTCAATGGGCCAAAGGGAGGGAGCAGGGAAAAGGTAAAGAAACATCTGTAATATGTTCTCAGCAAATTAATTTGCCCCCCGCATACCTCCAGAGGGGTCCCCCCCCAACCAGTCTTCGGGCCCTTGAGCTCTTGACAGCAGCCTGCAGCTGCCCAGTGGTGGGGGAAAGCTGGCAGTGCCCCCTGCCCACTCACTCCCACCCACTCTCCGCAGGTCGGGTTCTTCAAGCGCTCCCTGCCCTACGGCACGGCCATGGAGAAGGCGCAGCTCAAGCCACAGGCGGCCTCGGAGGCCTAGCGAGGCCTGGGCCTCGCCTGTCGCCCCGGCCCGTCCATCCATCGAACCGTCCTGTTGGCGCCACAGGAAAGGGGCACACACCTGCCGCCAGGCCCCGGGCCCACCTGACGTGAGGGCTGTGACGGCACCACCTCCAGGCCGCCCCGGGCCGGGCCAACGGGTCACCTGCCGAGCCATACTTGAAGAGGCTGCACGGGGCGCGGACCGGGCTGGAGACGCAGCTCAGGAACCTGCACCTGGCATCAGCCCCCGGACCCCCTCGGCGGGCACGGGTGGCACCGGGTCAGGGACCCATGGCATGGACGTGTCTTCAAGTGCAATAGACCCCCAGCCCACGTGGTGCTGCCCGGGGAGTCCCCGGGCCCCGCATCCCCCTGCCCTTTCCCCCGTGGTGCTGGGCATCGGGACTCCATGCAGACATGGCAGCTACTGCTTGGGTGCGTGCCCTGCTGCTGCTGCCAGGACACTAGACCCTGCCTGCCTGGGCTGTGGGCAATGCCTGGGCAGGGGCATGGGGCTGGCACCACTCCTAAGAGGCCTAAATTGCACTACA